CATTTAGATTTACAAGAATTTCACATATCCGCTGCAGGAGTGTATATAAACCCCCCAGGGTTGAACTAATTAAGTTTTATGTGCAAGTGCATTGTGCACATGAGCAAGCCCACCTTTTAAAGGTGTATCATGGGATAAATCTTGATGTCATATGTTTTCTCTTGGTGTATCCTTCTGTATAGCAGATGTCCAATCTGTACTAAAATAATGTACATAATAATTACATTTAAAAAAAAATTCAAGTACAACATGTACTCACTTTTGTTTCTTAGGCATTAAATTATATCACTTAGCATCTTCCATAATTTAACTTAATTTTTCAGTTCACCTGATGTATATTTTTGAGCATTCTTAAATTGAAAAATTCTGAAAAATTAAAATTTTTACTTTTGTTCATAAATTCTTGTTACAAAAGAAAATCCTGACATTTGCCTGAATAAATTCCATCAGAGGACAAAATGCATCAACTAAGATGAGTTTTTCTTTTGTCTTTATTCATATATATTGTGAGCATGTGCATAACTTCCTGGAGCTCTTTTTTCTGAAAAACCAGAAAACAGGGCTTTGGCTGACAATATTTTGCAGAAACTTAAAATGTTTTTGCAATAGATATTACTATTAATTGCCCCAAACTTTTTGAATAGTCATTTGACACATTCTTTACAGCCAAAACAACTAATTCCATAGTTAATACACACAAGATTACTTGTATGTATCAAAATCAACAGGGACATTTTAAAGCAATATCTCAGTTTTTGATTTCCCAAAAGTTCACTTACTTTTTTACCCAATGATAAAATACTTTTATCATCAGAATTAGACCATAAAATACAATCAACAAGGAATTGATCCATATCCTTTTTTGAGCTTCTGATTTTCATCTCTTGAGTTCAAGTAATTGAACTGTATTCTCTGTTTGTTTTATTGATTAGCAATCTTTCCAATCAACCATTGATTTTTTTTTTTATTATTACTCTTACTACTTCAACACAATTTATTTCAATCAGATCTATAACCAATCAGAGCAAAAGATGACTGTTTATCATGGTACTCTACTAACAAATTTTTTTGCTCTTAATTTTTTTCTGTTTTAGATTTCTCTCCACCTCCATCCTGTTGGTTAGCATCCTATTACCACCTTCTCCCTCACATGCATACTGTTTATACACACAAACATAGACAAACACACACATAGATTCTTTCTGAAGTTTTCCATTATACGATCAATTGAGAAGACAGGGTTAGGCTTGCAATGACAGAATCTGTAAACAAAGCCAGCAGATTGCAGATTCAGAGAAATGGACAGTGGAATAAATATTAAGAGAAAAAAAATTCTTTAATAATTACTGGTACTGATTTTAGAGAAAAAAATCCTTCAAATTTATTTTGCAAATATTTTATGTCTTGGTTGTCAAAATCCCTGTTCATTAATTTTTCATTTACTTTTGTTTTATTCTCTTGAATTGATTTTATTTCACTTTTTTTCATTTAATTTTTGTACTCTTCTTTTTTGTCTTCCTCTGCCACATTCAAGTCATTAAAGGAATTTCATATAATCCCTTTGGTTTATTTTTATTTTTGGCAAGTGTAGGCATTCATGGATAAAAAAAATCTCAAATAGCTTTTGTGTTTTTTATTAATTAAGCAATCATTTTTTGATTCACCCTTGTTTTAATTTGCTCAGAAAACCTTTGTAAAATGATTTGTTCTTCAAGATATCAACTCTGACTCAGATATCGCACACGCACAAATGCACACACACACACACTATTTAAAAAAGCTTACAACAATGATAAGTGCATATAGAAAAGAAAAATCAAGCAGTATAAGCACTCACTCAATTGATGATATCCCCTGACGAGTGGACTGACATGTCTGTCTACAAAACTCTGAAGTCAGGAAGCTGAAGGTAACATCAATCAACTAAGTGACAAACCTTTTATTTATATATATATATATATATATATATATATATATATATATATATTGTCATCCACAAACAGACTGTTTCACTGTATCACAGCTCTTCAGTGTGGCTAGGCACTTGATTGCTTCAAGCCGGGATCAAAACCCAACCAATTTGACATCAGCCAGAGATCCTACCCCTAGGCCATCAAGAGAGAGAAATATAGTAGGTATAATTGCTTATGAGTACATCAAAACTTCTTTGTGTTCTTCTAAGGATCAATGTGTTGCTTCCAAGCAAGTGAACTATCTGTGAAAAGTGTTAGGCATTGTTACAATGAATCCTTCTTTAATTAAAGGTAAATGAGATTTTAGTTTTCTGTAGTGATCATAATTCAGTTTGATTGCATACATTTTTCATGGTAAGGCTGTGGCCCCATACTCAGCAGGAGAGACTACACAACTCACATTATTAGTCTGTATAATCAGTTATGATTAACAAGCATAGCATAACCAAATAAATTGACTCCATTCATAAAGTAAAAATAAGGCTGTTATAACAGTGACGATATAAATTTTACTGACATAAAGTGGAAAGATTATATTGAAACAATTGCTAGGTCTTCTTTGCAGATCTAGTACTGCACTTAAATTCAAAAAGTCTATACATTATAGTGAAAAGCTCATCCAAACAATTACCATGAAAGTATTTATAGAAAAGGCACAGGGAGGCAACCTTATGGCAGTAGGAAAGTGACTGAAGCTGAGATGCCAGCTCAGGACCAATAATATTGCTGGTTCTTCTTTGGATTTTATGAAGGAGCTGAAGGTAAATAGCAAGGGTACCAGACCATATGTGGCAGTAACATTCTAGGCATGTATGAATGGTAGACTTATATGCAAAATTATTTATAATTATAAAATTATTTATAATTATAATTATAAAATTATTTACTTATATGTAAAATAGATTCTGGAGAGAAAAATTATCTAGCACGAGACAGTGAATCAACTTTCTTAGCAGTTTACCTAGGAATGGATTCAATATAGTCTTTTCTACTTCAGCCGAGAAAATTAGCCCCAAAAGGTACAATGAATCATTCTCCTGATGGAAGGCAGGAAGGGGTCCCTTAGATGATTAACAGAGAGCAATTTAACGTTTCATTTTTATTTCAAAAGAAAAAATCAGAAAAACATATCTTTGTCTAATGTCTAAGCTCATAAGAGGCATCAGAAAGAAAAATTAAATCCAAGAACGAGATTCAACAGAACATGGAATATTCTGGTTTATCAAAATCCCTTTTGAGCCATATACAATTTACTGATAAACCCAATCTGACACTACCAAACAGTGTAAATCAAAACAATTTAGAAACTTCAAGATATTTACACTGAAAACACTTAAAAATACCATTTCCAAAGACATGATTTCTATATGTGCAAAAGTAGTGGATTTTTTAAGAAAAATTATTAAATAATATTAATCAGAGATTTATAGAAAGATTTCAGGATCATTTGAACTGAATCTGACAAAAAAATTTATCTTGAAACAATATCTCTGGTTTTAGGATATCCTACTTATATATGTACATTTTTACTTGGAAGTGATAGAAGTAATATTAAAAGCTAAAAATATTTAAATTGTATGTCCATGAAGTTTAATATTAAAGAATTCAGGAGTATCAACCATCAATTAAAATTACAGAATTAGAAGCAGAAATCATTATTTTTGTTAAACTCCTTAAAACCTAAGTAAACCAATATCTATTCTATATATTATCATAATATACATTTCTTCCACTTTTCTTACAACAATGTCACCCAGTAAAACTCTATTGTCTTTACTGGTCCTTGTAATGGGTGAACTAAAGTAAAGGAAAAAAAGTAGAGACAAAAGTATGTTTATACATATATTACTATTTCTATATTATACATCTCAAAATTACTATGTAGCTTTCTAGTCAGCTATTACTGTCAGTTAATAACTATATATATTATATATTCAGAATAAGTGTAAATTTTACATAACTTCATCAGACTAAAATGTATGACATAGTTCCATTTTGTCATATATATATATATATATATAAATCATTTATTCAAAAATTATAACATAAATATGTTATAAAATCGCTACAAAAATAGCCATTTTGTTTCAACACTTCTGGTGTCTTATCAAGTGATGGTGTTGAATGTAGAATAAAGGGTTTTAATAAGGTTCAAATCAATCAAAGACCCCTACTAGGGGAAGCACTGTTACATAAGCTTAAAAACCCTTTATTCTACATTCAACACCATCACTTGATAAGACACCAGAAGTGTGGAAACAAAATGGCTATTTGCTCTACTCTGTATTGAGCACTCTTTTAAAAATAGTATTTTTTGGTTATTGGAATTTATTCTATATATATATATATATATATATATATATATATATATGAGTTGATGAAATATTCTCTAGTGGTCAAAGAAGCTCTTTAAAAAATAAATCCAATGTTTGATCATTTAGCCAGATTCTGGAAAATGAATCTGACTTTTATCACCTACTATTTATATATATGTATTGGGTGGGGGGGAATATATGACAATGTGGGAAAAGGTCTTGTATGACGTGTTTCATCCTTTCGGACTTCATTGGATGAAACACGTCGCAAAAAAACTTTTCCACTTTGTCATACATTTTTCCCCAATATTGATCTTGATAGATAAAATTTATATATCATTATCTCATATATACATAAACATATGTGTGTGTGTGTATTTCCTACTGCTACAAACATTTTTAGTAGATAAACATATGAGTTGCTATCCCTGTCTTTTTTTCTGAAACAGTCAACCTAGACTGAGAGGTTGTACTAAAGGAACAATTATGCCTCTTTCAAAAAAAAAAAAAAAAAAAAATATATATATATATATATATATATATATATATGAATGACAAGAAAACAAACAAGCAGGAAACAGATCTTAATCTAACATGTTTCACTTTATTAAAGCTTCATCAGAGATCAAGATAGAAATGATGAAAGGCAGGCAGGGGTCTCTCAGATGATTAATAGAAAGCAGTTTAAAGTTTTATATATATATATTAGCTGATGATATTTGATTCATTCTGTTTGAATCTATCTCAGCCTATAATTATCTATCAATCTGTCTCAATCATTCCATTTCTTTCTCTCTTTATACAGTTCTGTTCATATTTTGATTTTTTTTCCCTTTCTCTTTGTATCATTGTTTCTTTCTTTGAGACTTCATATCTATCTTTCTATCTCAGTTGGGATCTATATGTCTATTTCAGTCTGTTTCCTTCACTTGCTATCTCAGCTTGTTTCTTTCTTTCTATCAATCTATTTCAATTGATTTCTTTCTCTCTGTCCTCTTATTCCTTAATGCTCCTTATCTATTTACCTATATATATATATATATATATATATATAAAACATACATACAACAAACTATTTCTAATTTTAACAGTTAAAATATAATCCTTGAAAATGGTTAAATGTATAGCCAAAAGCACTCAGATAAAAACAACATTCGGACAGTTTTTATATAATTTATCATCCGAAAAGAAAAAAAATTATTAGATTGCATGAGAAATTGTATAAAAAACTAAATAAAAGCACCTTGTCTGTTGTTTTCAATGAAATGTGCATGAAAGAAGGATTGCTGCCTAAATACACACATATATATATATATATATATATGTATGTATGTATTTGTGTATTATTATATATCTTAATTTTTTTTTGTAACTATGTCAGTATGTTCATATCTATCATAGTCTGTTTTTTCTTTATTGGTTTCTTTTTGTGTCTGTTTCCTTCTATGGTAATTTGTCTCTATTTAGCAATCACTGTATCTGTGTTCCTTTCTATTTATCTCAGTTTGTTTATATCTACTGAAGTACATATTTCTGTTTTTATATCTCCTATCTACCTATGTAACTTTCATTTTTTTGTCTGTCTATCCCAGAATATTTCTATCTATTGATATCAGTTTTTTTTTCTAATTGCTTCAGTCAATTCCTCTATATCTATTTTTTTCAGTCTGTTTCTTTCTCTCTCTGTCTTTCTTTCTTTATATTAAACTGTTTCTTTCTTTTGATTCACATCAGTCTGTTTCTGTGTTACTTTGTTTCTTTCTTTGTATTTGTCCAACTTTGTTTCTTTCTATCTTAATTTGTTTCTTTGGATCTGTATCTATCACAATTTGTTTAAATCTATCTGCCTTCTAATCTATCTCATTCAGTATATCTGTCAATCTAACTCTGTCTTTGCCATCTGTCTGTGTCTTTCACAGTATGGTCCTTTCTATCTCAGCCTTTCTTAGTGTACTTTTTCTCTTTCAGCCTGTTTCTTTTTCTCTATTTAGTTCTCTCAATTTGTTTCTATCCCACTATATTTACTTCTATCTATCTCAGTTTGTTTATATCTATGTCTTCCTAGTCATATGTATATCATGGGGGCTGAGATTGTTCTCCAATTCCTCCATTCACAAGCCAATTCTTGCATGTTGGTCTTCAAGGCAAGCAAGCCTGCCTGCTCTGTTTGAATGATTTGTAGAATGCAATATTGTGAACAGCATACTTGAAAAATCTGTGATAGCTTTGGTGTACAAACACGCTTATATCTCATTAAGGACCATTTCATTCAGTACCTGTATGTTCATATAAAAGGTTCATTTTGCAAAGGGTATTTTGGATATACAAGCAAAAACTTTTAAAAACATAACATGAAAGATACAAATTTTTTAATAAGAAAAAAAAATCTCTAAAGTAATAAAAATAAATTACAAAAAGTAACTTACGAGTCGGTTTCCACCCAGTTCCATCCATCGTTCAATTTTTATATAGATTTTTTTTTTTTGTAAAATTTCTGCTCTTTCTAGTCTCTGCAAAGTTTTCTATTTTCTTTTTTTCTCGCTATCTTTTTCCTTTTTAGTGATTTACAGTTTTACTTTGTCCATTTTCATTTCATAATATAAGAATCCAAGTTCTCTGAGATATTGCAAAAAAACCATCAAAAGAAAAAACTCCATAATAATAAACAAATAAAGTAGATTAAATTTTTCTTTAAATCAGAAACACAAGTAAACATCTGTAACCAAGAGTCCACACAAATATCTATCTTTGTAGACAACCAAGAAAAGAGATTTAATTTAGTTTTTACATGTATATTTTAAATATGTATGTATATTTTGTTTTCTTAATTTTACAGCTATGCATCATATATTTTCAAAAATATGATTCACATTGGAATCTACTAGATTTTTTTTTTTGAAATGGATAACAAAAGCAAGAAAAAACGAGAGTGAAGAAAAGGTAGATAATCCATGTGTGAATTACTTTTTACTAATCCTTTATGTAAATCATAGGATGAAAGAGTATTAGCTAATCCCTGAATGGAAGTGTGAAGCGTATTAACTATGTTTTTTGGCACTGATACTTGTTCTTATGATAGAATAATTTGGACTGGTTTATCCTGATTTAAATCACAAACTATTTTCCATATATATGTATCTATTTTATTTTTTTTTAACTGTTAAGTGGAATGCCAACAACTATTCCTTCCTGTGTCAGTGTGCAAGATGCTAATAACAGGAAATTTTTTAAAGAAACAAGTTGGAAAAAAAAAATTAAATAATAACCTCCCAAAAAAGAAAAATCATTAACCTATTAATAAAAATAGCATCAATATGAGACATTTCTCTCAATGTGATACATGAGGTTGGGTGTATGGAATAAGGACTGGAGATTGATACCTTTGCAATATTATCCCCCATCACTAATGTCTCCTCCAGTTTCCCCCCCACACTATTTCCCCACCCTAGCCGCTGCAATCATTATTCCTATTCAGTTGCAATATTTCAACCTGCTGGATCAGTCATCAAGTTCTTATCATGTACAAGTCACTTGCTCTTCTCAGAGAGTTTGGTTATCACATTTTTAAAATAAGAACTACTATTTATTTATTTATTTTTTTTTTTTTAAATATGTACTGATTTCTCTCCCCCCCCATTGTCTTATATCTATCTAAAATGTCATGGTACTATAAATAACTGTGTGATAAAGTAAAATATAGGAAAATTTATCAACTTTTAGCATGTGAAGAATTTTCTTTAAAGAAATAGAGCTTTGTTTCATAAATCTTTCCATGAATAATTAAGACTAGTATCCTTATTACTATTGTTTCAACCATTATGTACTAACCAGTCATCTTGTTACTGGCTAGCCTGAACTGCTATGTAATTTTAATCCTCCTATATGGCAATAAATGCTGGACAATTTCCTCACAGATGAAGACAAGACTTGAGGCAACAGAGATTATGCAAGAAGGCTGAGAATATTATGAAAGGAACATGTAAACAACAAGAAAGTTTTATAGAAAATACAAACAAAATATTAGGTTGGTGCAAAAATAATGACGTAATAATGTCGTTTTTTGACATATTTTTTAACGTCATTATTACGTCATAATATTTACACCAACCTAATAAAAGGCAAGAGAAAGAAACATCAAGTAACCTACTTAATGAGCTTGATGGCAGAACAGAGACTTGGAGGGGAGAAATATTGCTTAGAGCTACAAATGATAGTGGAGATAGTGAAGTTGTGGAGAGCCATGATTGCCAAAGTTCTGAAGGGATATAGTATATAAAAGAAGCTGCTCCTCATCAATGTATTTTTTTAATCGCTGTGTTTAGTCTGGTATCTTCAATGATTCTTGTGGTTCAAGTTTGAAACAGATTTTTCTTCTATGTGCCATGTCCCTTCAAGGCATTGGCGCTCATGGCTCTCCACGATTTCCTGTTCTTTGTAGTTTTTAATAAAATTTGCCTTTTTGTTATCTCTCCTAAACCTAATTTTGCCATTTATTTACTCAAACTCACTAGGTATGTTATACATTGCTTTCCTCTTCTGCCTTGCCTTCAATTTTTGTTTAGATTTACAAACTCTATGTTTTGCTCAATTTTGCAAGCCAGTTGATGAAAGTTGAATAAGCTGTTATGTTTGGAAAAATACTTTGACAAAAACCCTACTTTGCAGTTTGATAATTTCTTTAATTTAATTTTATAGAACTTCATGACAAAAACATTTTTAAGAAAATTTATTTTTCTTCCTTTTTAACAGTGAAGAATAAATTCTTAGGATTTCTTACTCTTAGGCATGCAACACACAGCTGGCCTTGTGTAAATATTTCTTTCTAGAGCCAAATTCCAACTTTTGAAATGTTTGGCCTTGTGATTTGTTTATAGTTCTCACAAATACAAGGCGAACTGGAAACTGGATGCTTGTATATATAAAAAGAGAAAAAAAAGAAAAGATATGCAACAAACAATAATTGCTTTTTTATTAAATAAATTTTTGTTATTTTAAACATTAAATTGTTTTTAAAATAGTAGGAGTATATTGTATATTAAATAATAAAACTAAAAGTTTTATTATTTAACATTTTTCCAAAATAATTAATGAAAATTTATTGTAGTAAGCTATACACCTTAATAAAATCAACTTTGTAGCTCCTTACCTATTTGTACTTCTCCCCAAAATTTGGTTATGATGAGAATTATATATATATATATATATATAGAGAGAGAGAGAGAGATAGATAGATAGATAGATAGATAGTCTTCTGTCAAATTAAATTAAACCTCATATTATTTTTCATAACTATATTTGTAATTGTATTTAATCACTTTCTGAAGTATACCATGCTTTAGAATGTGGTAAAATATGGTTTTTAGATATAGTTATTTTTATTGATTTTGTTCATTGCTTTCCTTCTGATTTTAAACTATATCCGACTGACATCAGTTTAAACTGATGCTTTTTGTTTTCCATATATTGTGATCATTTTGCTTGAAGATTGTATTTTCTTGATTTCAGCTGAAAAGTTGGAAATTTTCACTTTAAAAAAATATAGGTTATAATTGTTTATATAAATGCAGAAAAAAAGGGACTGGTTCAAAATGATATCAGGAGGACAGTGGTTAAACTAGCATTATATATATATATACATATACATATATATATATATATATATATATATATATATATATATATATAGGAGTCCTTTCACTGGGGACCCCATACTTTGTACACTTAGAAAATCAATATATATAGGAGTCCTTTTGCTTAAAATCATATTTTCTTAATTTAAAATGAAAACATGAAAATTTTACAACATATTACAGCAAAATTTTCACTTTGTAAAATTATACTTTATAATTAAAGGTTACACACACACACATATATATATATATTTGGTTGGATTGATGTGAGTTTGTGACCCTGGGTTTCACGCTTTTGCGATCGTCAGACAAACTGATTAATATATATTTATTTATATTTATATATTTATATTTTTCATACATATATATATATATATATATATATATATATCTATATATATATATATATATATATATATATATATATCTGTGTGTGTGTGTGTGTGTATATATATAAAGGAAGGTGTCAGTTTAAACTGAGAGGAATGGATATAGGCTAAATCTACTTTAAAACAGTTGGAGTTAAAAAGTTGTGTAATGCAACTTTGAATCTGAGAATAGAGTCTGATAAAATTGTAATGAGTCAGGTTACCTGAGCAGCAGAGTAATGTTGAAGTATTTAGTAACAAAGAAACTAAATGCCTTTCAAAGAAATAATGAAAGTAAAAATTCAAAAACAATATTTAAAGGTAAAAAAAAACAAAAAAAATTTACTCTGAAAGAAAAAAATTCATAAATTTCTTTTCTATTAAGAAGTTCTATTTAGAAGTGACGACCATGGCTCTCCACAACTTCTGATTCTTTGTAGCTCCTAGTAATGTTCGTCTTTTTACCATAGTTCCACCATCCATTATTTCTATTAATGTTAATTGGTTTGTAAATTCTGACTTCTTCTGTATGCTATGTCCCTTCAGGATGTGGGTAATCATGGCTCTTCACAACTTCCTATTCTTTGTAGCTCTTAGTAATGTTTGTCTTTTTACCATAGTTCCACCTTCCATTCAAATAAGCTAGTCAGTTCAGTGGCCTGCTTTTTCACCTTGTCTTTTTTCTCTTCATCATGTTCTGTGAGGGTCAAATTTTTCAAGCTCTTCTTCCTCATTAGATGAAATTGTACTAAAACATTGTTTCTCATTCAATAAGCAAAGTTAAGCAGTTTTGAGCCTGGTCACTACTTAGATGGAGTACCACTTGGGAACAATAGATATTGTAAGCATCTACCAA